TATGAAACGTAATACAATGAGCTGCGTACTTTGTTCTTAGAAGAATAACTGTTATATAAACCCAAGTAGTGTAGTCAGACACAACAAAAGTAAAACTATGTAACTTGTAAGAAGAGCACCAATTGGACACTGAATAAACGCAGAGGTGCAAAACATAAAATTAATGACTATCGAATTTTTCGGTTTTCGCAAATTAGAGTAGTAGCAAAATATTTCGTCCTCCAGGACAGGCTAAGAAGTCTAATTGACCATACTGAGATCTAAGATCTGGCTTAGATCAGAATTTTTCTTTAATAGTTTAATTTTCAGATATTCTTGCGTGACTTTCCTTCAATAGTTTAATTTTCAGAAATTTTTCATGGGAAATAGTTATATCCCTACGGTGGCAACTTTGAAACTTTTTTTCTGATCTAAATCAGGTATATTGTTTTTTTTCAAATTAATCAACGTATCGATCCCTTTACAGGTCCCATGTCACGGTTCGTTGTTTGAAAAGACAAATATACGCTATTTAGATCTGAAAAAATAACACACGATAAATATTCGCTTCTGGATAATGAAAAAATTTAATTGTAAGTATTATTTATTTACTTATTAGATTAAATGAAAATAAAATTACTTATAAGTCTTTTATTTGTTTTCATTGCAATGTATTTATAATGTATTTTAATAGGCATTATTTAGGTATGCATGCTACGTCGTCGACCTCATCGGCACTTACCATCTGGTGAGATGGAGGTTAAATGCACACTTATTTTTTATAAGAAAAATAAAGTTTATTGTTTTTTTTATCACATCGATGACACACGCTAAGTGCCTATCGGCGTAAGGTACTCGCCGATCGTTTCCCAGGGTGAGCTAGACGTACAGGAAAGGAATGGTCGTGCGGAGAGGCTGTTTTGTGTACACCATGAACTTTACTGGAGGCTTATAAAATAATGAAAAAAAAAATTGATGCGAAAAACAGTCTTGTTTTCAATAAAAACAAAATAAAATAAAAACCTTTTATTTTCAGATAGTATAAGTCCATAGTTTGTTAGTAAGCAACCTTATACTATATTAGTAAAACTGAGTGTATGGTGAACATATGGTGTATGTATATGAAGTGTATATTAAACTTTTCAAAATGGAAATATCAAAATATCCAATACCAGCGATTAGCGAAATATGATAACTTTATTAAATACGCAGTATCTACTCTGCATTCTTACATTGGATTCTCAGAGCCTTTTTGTTCTAATTGCAATATCATTTGTCATTCCAATATAAAGTAGAGCCACAATATTGTGTAGAGCGTCAAATTTGTTTGATTAATTTTTAGTAAATAGGTTACGCAATTTGGTATATTTTCATAGTTTTACATATGCTTGTAAGTATCTAATTTCTTAACTCGCATAAAACGTCACTTTAGTATGGTACTTGTCTACCTATATATTTGTCGATGGCAGCTAACAAAGGGCGAAAAAAATACGTTCAGACATTCTGCTAATAAAATTTATCGTGCAATTAATTGTCCACAAAACGATCCACTTCCACTCGAGACAAGAGCGTGTCGGCAGGGGCGACGCGTCCAAATAATTGGTCCTTGGGCTATTTACCTTACGTGATGCTGTTTGATCAGAGTCCAGAGCATTAATTTAGTTCCATTCCCCGAGGGTAGAAACTTGGATTCTTGGGTACAGCATCTAAATGTTAAAAGTGTTTCTATTGCTATATTTATTACATTGGTAAGTGGTCATACAAGTTTTTATTTAAGGTGTTGTTATAACTATTTATACTATATGGGATAATATTCATCATCTTCCGCAGAAGGAGATTTAACCAGGCAGATATCTATCCTAATAAGATAAAGTTTATTTCAAAAAGTTCTAATTAAAAAGATCAGATATAATAATAAAATATATCCTATGGTTGTGTTTGTTATATGTACAAATTACCTATTGGTAGAACTGCGCTAGGAATGGAGAATATTATTTTGCGGAGCACTACTCGTAATACCTAACAAGGTTACCTTCAACTAGACTTGGTAACAAGAAGTAACGTTAACAACTTGTTCTTTTTCCAAACTATTGACACAAATAATAATGGGCTAAGTTTATACTCCCTGTATTTGAACACGCGTCAAAGATAACTTAAAAGGTATAATGGTTTTGAGTTTTATGTAAGCATCTCTAAATGCACTACAAATTTATAGTCGGAGTACAAAACGGCCTTAGTCATAAGAAATGAATATTTGAAACGCTTGCCTTGTGATTCACCGGGCATTACAGTTAATGGCTGCATAATGCATAACTCGCTGTTCTAGACTTTGTTCAATCTGTTATGCAATTAAGAAAGGTTTACTTATGTTCTACATAATACATAAAGAATACTTACGTAAGTAGATATTCCTGATTCGTTAATAAGATCTAGCCTAGTAGCGAGTTTGTTGGCAACATGTGCGACGAAACGCCTATCTAAAATATGCAGCAATTTTGCAGCGAGTGGTTTATTGTTTTATTAGTTTCTTAAACAGGCGCTACAAATGCTTATATTTATAAAAGTAGGCAGTCCTGTGTATGTAATAGCATTATTATGGTATTATTTGAGATTAGTGTATTGTACACTTCACTTATTTATTTCTTTTGTAATTTTTTATTTGTGTTCAAAATTTAGTTAATAAAATTTTGATTAAAATTTTTTATATTAATTTTATTTTTTATTTTCAATTTTCTAAAGTGATTAACTGTAGACATCTGAAATAAATGATACTTTATTTAATTTTTACGTATATCCTATTGGTAACTGTCAAGCAGAACTTGATAAGAATCTATGGTCAATCGTGTTGCTAAAGATGTTAACATGGTGTAATTACTTTAATTTGAAAATTATTTTTCCTTTTCGTGTTTTCAGGTAGGTATTCGGTATGTGGCCGAATATTAAAAATCAGGTCGTATAAATCGAATACCGAAAATAACTGAATTCTCGTAGGAACCACAGAACAATAAATACAGTAGAAGTGCTTAGTGGCCGTGACACGTGTGCTAACAGTACGCGGAGTTCCACTTATTTGAGCTCAGTCCGCCATTTTTGCTTTGTACATACGTTATGGTCATGTCAATTATCTCGCGCAAAGCCTCGAAAATCTAAAATTAGGAGTGCAAAAAATTATAGTGGCACTTGTAATATTAATATTATCCATGGTGGTTGTTTTATATCATCGTCAAGTCTTATTTTATTTCATTTTAATAGATTTATAATTTTCTTATTGTTTTAATAATTTTTTGTTACAAGAAACGAAAGTAAACCACTATAATTGATCGTTTCTTTTTTGTAGAACTAAGTGAACATCACGAATTCGTCATCGTTTAGCTGTTGACCGCTAGATGGCAGCACATTGATTAAAATTGCAATATAAAATCAAAACGTCATAACTTGCAATGACAGGTATTGAACTTTCAACGATGAGCGTTGGCTCAGGGTAAAGATTAAATTCTATGTCAGATTTGATTAAAGAAAAAACTACTAGAGATGCAACCACAGAAGAAAAAACCAATGGAAGTGCCTTAAGCCTCAATTACTATCAGAACCGCTGTTGCTAAACGTCACATGAACATAGTATGTTAAATACTATAAACTCTTTATATGTAAGCAATAAAGTTTACAAAGAACCGATTGATTCGTATCATATATTAATAAAAGAATTGAGTTTTTAATCTATTCATACTTCCTGCTAAATAGGTAACGTTAGATGAAAAGAAACAAATTTGTAAGATTTTTATTTTATATTGTTAATAATATCATCCAGCTTCAAATTCCGGTTTTGAACTTGAATTATTACCGGAACTAGAAATGTTTGTAATCTCTTCCTTCCAATAAAAAAAATCATTAGAGATGACACCGTTGCACAAATAATTAATTACTGGTATTTTTATATTGGTTTGAAACTTCTACTAAATTGGTAATGGTTGGTTTTTAAAAGCCTTTGTTTATTCTAGCAATAAATATACGCATTAACATGCTGAAAAATGTTAATAATTCTATCTCAGACTAGGAAATTTCCTGTAAGAAAGAACTGAGAACTTGTCTATATAAATTACGTTCCATTCATTCTGAATGTAAATTATAAAGACTTACGGACTTACTATTCAAGTGCATTGCACCCAATGATCTTATACACAAAAGATATTTAGCAATATAAATTGATATTTGTTTTACTTCAAGTTAAAACTTTAAAGATACTGTAGCTTTGAGTGTTAGTTAAAGAGTTTTAATTGCACTACGTATTAATAGTGGGAGCACAGAACGATAAATTTTTTTATGATAATGGCGCAACTGGCTGTTCAACTCTAAACTACAAATTTGAAAAAATGGTTCCCTATTTTCTATTGAGAAAAATATTTTAAAATAAATAATATTTAAAATTTAAACTTAAATAAAATATTTAAAAATATTCATGTAAGTAGGTTTTACGAATTAATTTATAAGACCTTGATGAGTTAGTTGTGCTTTATGTTAGCAGTACACAATATATTGTTATAGCGTGTTAAAACGCCTGCCAAAAATACTCAGCAATTCTGCAGTGAATGGTTTGTTATGTATTTCAGGCTCTTAAATACCAGGCACTACAAAAATCATAACCTACTCAGTTTACTTGTATTTAGACATGGCAATAACGGCTGTTTATCAATAATGAATTATACTGTTCTGCGATTTTTAATGACTGTTATTGTAAACTGTAGTGATAACCTGTTATTTCGCTGTTATGTAGTTTTGCATACATACGCTCGTGCTTTTAGTTCAACTATAATGAATCTAGCTAGATTAACATTATTTAAGTTAATTGTTTAAGTTCAATTAGAGTGTATACAAGGACATTATAAAATAGTTCAAATGCTAAAATTTTGTTTGTGTATATTATGTAACATCTGAGACGGTTAAATTATTTTTATTATATAATCATTATTATTATAAATGAAATACTTTATTAAACACAATCATAAAATACTGTAAAAAAAGGAGGTAATTACAACAGCTCTGAATGCAAGTAACATGGTTGTGAAAATATGTTCGATTTAGGTATGTGTTAGTTGTCGCATTCATTTGGTCGTTTCTTGAATGCGTCACAAACTGCATTCATAAGGCCATCAGTGTTTTTCAAGTTTCCGCTATTGATGAGAAGGTAAGGCACGTAGCGTAGGTGTTGTTTCTTCGTTTCTTCTTCATAATGTTTGAGCAAATCCATGGCACGTTCACTTTTGAAGCAATTTGCGATGGCTTCAACGTCTATTTCAAGTAATCGTCCGCACTGTAAAATAAGTCGGTCTTTTTCATCATCATACATAGATCTAGGCTTTATAATAACTATTTATAATGTTAATTGATGAAAGTAGTTCTTTAAAATTATAAAACAGATATAAGTTCTAGATATAAGTTCAGGTTAGTTTTTTATTGTGGTGCCAAGCTAGTTTATAGATATATAGATAGATAAACACGTCATTCACTAATATGACACAAATATAGATTAAACACAGAAGTAAAAACATAACATGATTGTCATGGCAGTGAAAGGGCGCTGACTCAGCACGGGTATGCCAGAGTTTCCTAAGAAGCTGATTTTCAGTCAAGACCAACGAGAGGGTTTTAGTTATGTGTAGGCAAAAACATAACGACTATGAGTAAAGTTATACATTGTAATAATATACATAATAAACAGTAAAGAGTTCATCTAAAATAACCTATTAGACATTTAAGCGCATGTGCCAATGTGGATATAATGATACAAGTACACCAAGTAGGGTAGACCGGGTACGGTTGAAACAATTTCGCTTGTATCGTCCGTAGTATTGCCATTTATGAGCCCATCGTTGATGAAGTTATATTAAATACAAGAGCGTGTTTCTATCTAACAATGGACAGTGGTAATTTAGCACCCGATGTGTTATTTTTAGTACAAGATCAAATTTAAACAATAAGGCCAATTTGTTTTAACCGTCCCCATACCAGAGTCGGTTGAAACAGTGAGTGGGGTCGGTTGAAACGCAAACAAATAATGCAAAGTGTAATATTATACCACGTTTATTAATTATTATAGCACCGTTTGCCGTCTCCAAAGATACTTCTAAATTAACTATATTTTAGTCAGCCTTTTCACACAACTTAAAAGATTCGTAATCAGTCGTCTATGACACAGTTTACAATTCGTGTATTGTATCCATTTTTCTCCGGGCTTACTCTTTGCAAACGCATACAAATAACAAGGCAGTACCACTTTCTCTTCTGAAGATTCCATTCCTGTTGTGTAGTGGTGTTTTTCCTTTTTGTGGTATTTCTATTAAGTACATTTTTCTCCACCAATCTTTTCCTAATTTGCTTTGCTTGCGTCGGTTTCAATCTGCTTTCATGTCTCTGTCCCTCTGTCTCTGTCTCTTTCATATGTCCTTTCTTATCTCTTCTTTCTCTGGAGTATCAGTGTGAATTGTAGACTTTCTGGTTTTCAGCCTTCTGTTTGCTTTTTTCCGGGGAGCTTTCGGTAATAGTCGTACAGCCTTCGGCGTAAATACAAAAGGAGTGCCAGAAGGAAATGCTTGAACACGTATGTAGAAGGGTTTAGGCTAAGTTTGATGAATACTGCTGCTATGAAGTCTAGATGGTGCATTCAAAGTTTCCGGACCTTCAAATAAAGTTTTCCTGTTCAATTCTCGGGACTGGTGAACTCTTTCGAATATTGGTAGCCAGTTGTTGAGCCACCGTCTCTACTGGTGGTTCATTAATTAAGCGAGAAGGCGATAGTGGAGTAGTTTTATCGTCAGATTTGCCAGTATTCCTTAGAGGAATAGCCTCTGGCTCGGGTATTTTCGGGATTTGGTCAATCTGACGCCAGATGCAAGATGCATCTCGCTTTTATATATCTTAGGAGCGAACAGTGGTTCACTCCATGCTTCTCTGCCACATGCAACGAATCTCGTGCCTTTACTTCCTCGAAGGCATCTTTATACCTCGTTCCGTCGAATTGCGCCCTTGAAGTCTTTCGAAGGTGTCTAGAAAACAAGAATATGAAATAAATTTGTTGTTTCAACCGTACCCACAAAAAATGTTTCAACCGTCGCCAACCTCTCTTTTAGGTATAAAGCCGTTTCTAGTTTGGGTGGCAATAATTACTTATTAAAACTAATCATACTACCCTATTCTACAAGCTTCATTTCAAACACAAAAATAAAGTCAATAGTCAGACTTCAATAATAATCATAATAACTGGAGAAATCTCCGAAGATAAATACTTACTTTTGATTTTCAAAACACAATAAGGCTTCCTATAAACAATTGCAACGCGCGTTGAGCGGTAAACAATGTGACTCGTGTTGGGACTTGTTGTCCGGTTCTTTCGCCCCTTGAACCCCTGACCTTATCTCATATGGTTCGAAAGATATTTGCTCTGTTTCAACCGTCCTTTGTTTCAACCGTACCCAGTTTACTCTACACCTGTAGCAGTAAATTGTGATTGTAAATAGGCTATCAGATATAGACTATCAGAATTGTTAATTAATACAATGACTGTATAATGTTATGTTACATTATTGAGCTGAACATGTTATTTTTCTATCAATGTTCATCAGTAATAATCGTGAGAGAACGCTGTCTCTATTTAAAAGTAATGCAACATTTATTCACCTAACAAAAATACTAACTTGCTCAACAGATCTATTGCGTTCCTTCATTAAACAAGCATTGAATTTTACGTAGTCAGTTGTATTTTTCAGAACATCGATGGCACACGCGTGGCGAGCATTTCCAATGCATTCCTGATGTCCATGGTGACATTTGATTAAGTGTCTTCCGTTCTTGTTGAGAATCTGTGAAAAACAGAATTCTTTTCGCTTACACTTTTTCGCTTGCAGTAGTTTGCGTAGAGCAGTGGTATTCCGTACACCATGTGCCTTTCAAACTTTTGCAAACTTCCACACCACATCTGCAACCGACACTACTGGCTTCAGCATGACTTGACTTGTACAGAGTCGCTTATAGAGTTACCTACAGCATCTTCAATGTCACGTGTTAACGCGATAGCTGTGTGTGATATAGTTAGTGATTGAATTCACACACGTCAATGCTGTGCACAAGTAGCAGAGTCGCGCGCCGCCGCGACAGGCGACGTCACATAAAATCTTATAAGTAAATCTGCTTAATTTATATAGAAATACAATGATATCTCTCATCTTAAGATCGTAGCTTCAATAGCCGAAAAGTTTAATTTGAACCCTCATCGTATTACGGAAATTCAGAACTTAAAGAATGATTCAATTAGAAACTAGCGCCACCTTTTCATGTAACAGAATTTGAGCGGGATAGGCACATAGTTGCAGTAAAGGACATTCTATGCTAATCTAAAGTTGAAAAATACTTGCATTACTACAACGAAACTACCTACATACCTTTGATCCTCCAAAGGGATAAGTATGAACATCTATATAGTTATTCAAATTCTGTACAACAGGTAAGAATTCTGTTCTGTAAGTGGAAATGCTGCGTGGGCAAAGACTTTCGTAATAAAAGTCGATTCTTACGATGTCCTGCTCCTGTAAATTTATTTCATATGACTTGTTTAGAAGTTGAAAATTATTTTAATTTAATTAATTGTATTTATTGTATAGGAAAGCCAACATGATGCATACACAACAATAGCAATTACACGCTACAGGTTGGAAACTTTAAAGGTACTTTTGGTGTATAGCTACAATAGTAGCAGTAGATTTTTGCTCTATTATATTATATTTTTACTTAAATAAACTGAACTCCTTCGCCGCGGATAAAGCCGGAAGGGTTTTTGTGAGCGAAGCTTGTAACACACTCAACATAGCCACGCACCAGGGAAACCCTGTGTCGCGGGTGCCATGGAGACAAGCATAGACAACCACAAATTTTCACCCAAACTCACTAGAGAAATAAATGTAGGCCATACAAATATTTCTCCCGGCCCGGGAATCGAACCTGGGACCTCTGCGTGGCAGTCCGACAAGGTAACCGTTCGGCCACAAAGGCAGTTAGTTAGTAAATAGGTAAGTATTTTTTCTGTATTTTGGTCAATAAACAAAAAAAAATTATACTGGTTAACATAGCAAGCTATACAGATTCAAGAACGTATAAATTAAACAATTACACTGTATAATTATAACCAACATTTTATTTCACAAATAAATATATGTTAATAATAAATTGGTATTTATACAAGTTTGTAAACCAGGACTTAAAATTGAAGTCGTCTGGCTCGGCTACGTCAAGTATTAGTAAATACTATACACAAATGATTACCTACCTGATGTATCGCTTCTTCGTTTTTCTCAGTTGTATTGACGCGGTAATCTGAGAAAAGGAAAAAAGAAACACGGATTAAAGAAGTAAAACTGAAGACATCGTTTGAGCAAAACTATGTAATGGTTTATGCGTGTCACATCTGACCTTGAAACTCTTATAGAGGGAAGGGTGTAGCCCATAGCCCAATTGCACAATGCATGGGAGTTTAGGAATTCACGTTTTCGATTTTCAACTTTGAATATGTCGATTTCCTTTCGAGGTTTTTCTTCACGTTTAAAGTGGATGTTGGTGTACGTGATTTGATTACACTCAATGGCAGCAGCTCTTCCATTTTGACTCGGTTTTACCAACAATATTATGTTTTTTGAAAAAGGAAATAAGTTTTTAACTTTACAACGAAATTTCGTTGTGGTCTCTTTTCTGCCAACGAATACTCGCGTACAACAGGGAGACTTTTTTCACATCACGATATTTTACATGAAAATTCTACCAATTAACTCGAAGAAATTTGGGTTCACATAATTATGGAATGTAGTTTAAAACAGTTCAGATATTGTAAACTAAAGAATGTATATAATACAATATAAATATAACGTACAATGCGATGCAATGTGCCAGGCAACCACGCCAATTACCTGATCCCAAACTCACGAATTTCTTGTATTATGAGTACCAGAGCAACAGTATTAACTCAAGGGCACTACCCAGAACAACCAGGCGAGAATCAATTTATAATAGTTAATTTCCCAAATTGGTCCTACAGGGAATCGAACCCGGTACCTCCTCATTCAGCATTCGCAGTGAAAACAGTTGGGTATTATGTAACTTACCACATCGAATGTAGTTTATAGTCAAAAGTAATAAGAGAAAAATTGAACGACTCATTTTTCTCAAAATACAAAATAACACAATTTGCAGGTCGATACAATTGAGTAGCGTGACCTGGTTTATATACAATATATAACAGGAAAGGAAATATAAACAAGAGTTAATTTTGCAAATTAACGTGTTTATTTCCCTGTATAAAGGTAAATTAAATACGTATATTTTTATTTATAAGGATAAACTTATTACTTAAGTCACGTCTAAATAAAAAGAAATACATTTAATTAAAGCGTATTTATTTCAACTTATCTCATGTTTAGTAAACATGCAAGTTTAATTTCCTGTTCTATTATCAAAGTTTAGGTAGAACACGAGTTAATTTTGTTTCTAAATTACTTAAGTAAACACTGAATAACTTAAAAATAGTTTCCATTTATATACATGGGAAAATACAAATTTTCGTTCAACAGAGGTTAATGACACAAAGGTTAACATAACAAATAATTGGTGCTATTATTAATGTCCTCCTATCCTACTATGTTTCGAATTTATTTATTACCAATAATAGCCACGAACGTGTGTCAGTTTGATGTCATTCACAATGATTTCTATACAATTTGTCCTTTATCATAAACACACTACTCGTAAATGATTATCACTAGTATCAGGTTTCTTACCACGGTATGACTTCTTTTTATTTTTTTATTTTTTATTTTTTTTTATATATGTAAACAATAGGTGCATGACACTATTCGTGTCATGCACCTATTGTTTACATCGGTAATGAAGGTGTTAATAAAAAAAAAAAATGTTTTCTATAATATTTAGATATCAATTTTTGTTCTTATACACGCTTGTGGTGGGTTCTTGAACGCAGCGCATACTTTGTCCATCAGGCGATCCTGTGGTTGTAATACCTTGCCATTCACGATAGTATAAGGCATCAACTTTTTATCAGTAAGTTTCGCAGTTTCTTTTGCATAATATTTCAGGAGTTCGACAGCGTGGTATCCCTTAGCGCATGTTTTTATTACACTGGAGATGACTTCATTATTACTACACTGAAATAAAAAGCAAATTACATGAACTATCTCATTTCAGACTGGAGAATTCTCAGTAGGTAAATATAGTAATGATTTATAGCCAGCTCTCTATTAATCATCTTTATACCACTCTTAAGGAGATGCGTGTCCCAGGTTGCATTTTCTTACCTACACTTTGTTATTCTATCACAGTAGTAACTTCTCTGCTTCCTGTAGCGTAACATCTGAGTTGTGCACAGAGTTGTAAAATTCCATACTTTTAAGGAGTATAAGTCTTGTTCCAAATTTAGCAAATTCACATACACAAAACAAATCTGAGTGGCGTCTAAATGATACCTGATCAGCTGCTTGGTCTGTAGAATCCCACGCCATCAAGCAAGAATTGTAAGGTACATAAAACGACTTATCAGGCAAATAGTAAATAGCACAGGCATGAAGTCCATTGCCATAACATTCGGCCCTACCGTGCTCACATTGGAATGTGACGTTTTCGTCGTTCTGTGTCATCTGTTGAGAAAAAAATCTGTGTTACAGAAAGAAATGAAAATAAGAAAATTAGGTAGGTCATGAACAAGTAACTATATGTAGGCTAGTAATTAATACTTTATATGTTATCTTGCATATTGTATTTCCCTAAATTGAAATTATTGTTTAGCTAATTTTCAATGCAATCACCAACTGATTACGATATTTATGGGACTGTTTTGTCGATCTTTTGTACAAATTACTGAATCACTGAGACGTTTACTTTATTATCTACAGGATATGGAACCTTGCAATCTTGCGAAAATAGAACTAAACTCATTTCTTTATCTCAATCAGCGGACGAACAATGTTAAAAAAATCAAGAATACTGTCATCATTTCAGTGTCCAAAAGTTACATGCACAAGAACCATTATTATTATTTATAATGGTTCTTTAGATTCCAATCGTTCGGCCTTTATTATTTTATTAGTACTTACATTAGTTATAATTGGTAGATTATTTTCATTTTATTATCCACCCCGTTTAATTATTCATGTCTTAAAATAGCTTCAAGAACATTGGCTGTGAAACGTACCTTAGTATTACCGTAAGGATAAGTGCGTAGTTCTATGTAATCGTTTAGCTGCTTCACAACGTTTGCTAATTGTCTCGTGTAAAACTTTTTACAATCTTTGCATCGACTTTCGTAGTATTCGTCGATTCTTACTTTCTCCCAACCCTATTAAACAAATAAGTATTATGCAATGCATAAAATTAATTATACGGACGGAATCCACCGATATGCATCGGTATGCAACGGAATACACCTGTATCCTCCGGAATGTGGATTCCGGCATGCGCTGCAATCTACCGACATGCGACAGAATCTACCTGCATGACCCGGAATCCAGCGGTATGCGCTGAAATCCACCGGCATGTGACGGAATCTACCTGTATGCGCCGGAATCTACCGGTGTGGGTCGGAATCCATTAGTGGAATCCACCCGCTAGTGGAACAGATTCAAATCCGAGCGACCGCTGACATGTCGGCGGATGCTGCGGCGTTCCAGTGGACTCTGCAATACGCCGGTGGACACTCGCGGTATCATAAGGGATATCCTCATCAGTATGCGCTGGCGGACAAAAGATTTCTCTTCGATGCTCCCTCTCTCCGTCCGCTGTTTTGCGCTGGCCCTTACAGTATAGCAAGATGGTACGTCATTCTGGGTGTTTATTAACATGAGTCTATTTTTGGTACGGATAAGGACTACTGCTTGTGAGAAGGTAACCTGCCTCGATATGCAAACACCCTAAAACAAATATTGTAATAAATAAAGCCCTTGATACCTGTAGTACCATTGCAGTATTCCGGCAATCTAAAAGAAAATGATTAAAATATCAAGGTGTAAATAACAATTTGAACTAAATTGTCCAGAGAGGTAAGTTCCAGAACTTACCATAGTAGTTGAAAATAACATCCAACTGATTAGATGAAGCATTTTTTCTCAGCATTAAAATACACTTCGAGTTGAATATTAAGTTGTTTATATGTTAGTTGAGTGGAAGGGTGTTATTATTAATAGCTTTTGTACTATTAAAAATGAAAATAAGTAACAATATAAGTACACAGTTGATTTGGTGTGATTCAATAATGTTGAACAAATAAGTAAATGTTTGTGGTGTTCTTTTACGTGTAAATAGCAATTAAGAGGGGAATGCCCAAAACGCAATAAAAATATCAGCACGTATGTACGTACTATTAATATTAGGGGATAAAGTATGAAATTGCCGTTTTATTGCAATAGGTTCTTTGAATTTTCATAGAATCTTCATGGTTTGAGGTTTTCGAATGAAACTTTTTTCAAATGGTTTCTGTGATTTTTTTTTTAAATTTGAAACATTTGACTATCGACTTTCAATTGTTTTTGTTATTCAATTTAGACAAGAAAGATGGATACTGCGAAAATTCGAGTGATTTTTGAATACGAGTTCCGACGCGGAACTAACGCGGCAGAAACAGCCCGCAATATCAATGCTGCGTTTGGAGAGGGGTCTACTAATGAACGCACCGTGCGATTTTGGTTTAAACGCTTTCGTGATGGAAATTTCGACTTAAAGAACGAGTCACGAGGAAGACCGCCCACACAGGTGAATAACGATGAATTAAGAGAGATAGTGGAAGCCGATCCTAGTCAAACTACACAGGAATTAGCGGCATGGTTTAACGTTACCTTACCCACAATATTGACTCACTTGCGTCAAATCAATAAAATAAAAAAATACGAAAAATGGGTGCCTCATGATTTGACTGATCTGCAGAAAGAAACGCGTGTTGAAACTTGTGTTGCCTTGTTGAACCGGTACAGAAATGAAGGAATATTGGATCGAATTGTAACATGTGATGAAAAGTGGATTCTTTATGATAACCGGAAAAGAAAAATGCAATGGCTGACCCCAGGTCAAATGCCACAACAGTGTCCTAAAGCAAAACTTACCAATAAAAAGGTAATGGTAACTGTTTGGTGGTCTCAGCATGGTGTTATTCACTATAGTTTTCTCCGATCTGGTCAAGCAATAACGGCAGATGTCTATTGTGCCGAACTCCGAACCATGTTGACAAAACTAGCAGTAAAACAGCCCCGACTCATGAATCGATCTTCACCATTATTGCTCCACGACAACGCGAGACCTCACACAGCACGAGAAACCATTTTGACCCTTTAGGAACTGCAGTTAGAAACCATTCGTCATCCTCCGTATTCACCAGTCCTTGCTCCAACGGACTACCATTTTTTTCGTGATTTGGACAATTATCTACGTTACAAGAAGTTTTCTTCCCAGGAGGCAGTACAAAATGCTTTCACACAGTTTGTGCAGTCTAGATCGTCGGAGTTCTATCGCAAAGGCATTAATAACCTTCCCATTAGATGGCAGCAATGTATAGATAATAATGGCAACTATTTTGATTAAATAAATTTGTTAAAAATTTAAAAAATAAACAATTTAGATTTTCAGTACAAATCGGCAATTTCATACTTTAACCCCTATTATTAATAGTACATACGTGCAAATGCGTAGTCGTCGTTACGCAAGCGGCATAGAGCTAAATGTAAATCTTAAGTAATAATCGTAATATAATAACAACGCACATACTCAACATAGCCCCGCACAAGGGAAACCCTGCATCGCGGGTGGCATCGACCCATACATAGACAACCACAGAAATAAAGGTAGCCCATACCAATATTTCTCCCGGGCCGGGAACCGCACCTGGGACTTCTACGTGGCAGTCCGGCATTGTAACCGTTCGGCCACGGAGGTAGTTGTGGCGTGTTTGCCCTTTATCATTTATGATAATATAAAGAAAACTTTTAGTTATTTGTTTTACATTACTTACTTGCATTCTTATGTGAAAAATAAATTATATAAAATGTACAACTATCAGACATAACCATAACTATAAAACATAAATTTAGTACCAGTAGAGCTCCTTGTGAAAGAATTCGCCCAGGGTAGGTCCAAGTACTGCCACCTTATAATTATTTCTACCGCAAAGCAATAATGTGATCATTATAACGTTTCAGTTTTGAAGGGTAGGTAAGGGTGCTGGTGAAATTACAGGCACATGGGACTCTTTAACTTACGTCTCAAGGTAACAAGTGCAGTGGCAGTGCCCCTCAGGTCTTTGCGATTTAAAGCTCTGCGGAGCACTGTATTCAAAGCACAAAAGAAGTGTATAAGAGCTATATTTAGTATTTCTCGCACGGACAGCTGCCTGCCCTATTTTCAAAAATATAATATACTAACGTTACCATCGTTGTATATTCTAGAATCCTTATTATTTGTCAAAGCTAACCCCAATCTATTCAATAAAGTTATGGAAATAAGACGTAGGAATAGAAGAGATAATGATGAAGTATCTATGCTGCCACATATAACCGCGTTAATGTCAAAAAGTGTGCTCTATATGCTGCCAAGATTATATAATATAGTCCCGACATCCATTTTTTTAAGAAAAAATATAAACAGTATTTAAATGATAAGTGTTTTTATAATGTAAATGATTATATGAATACGAGATGGATTTAGGACTAATTTGAAATAGTGTCTAGTAATCTGTATGTAAATAATTTTAACACGTAGTATAAGTTATTGTTTGTATTTTATGTAATTTTTTACATGAGTATTATTTTTATGGAGGTGTAAAAATGTAGATTATGTAAGTTTGACATTTCACGTGCTTATTTTGGCTCTATTTTTGACATTGTTAATTTTTACTGTATTGATCTCTACATGTTTACTCCTACTATAATTTATTTTTATTTTTTGACTATTTTAAATATAATACTTTGAACATTATGCGACCACCACTAGTCATATTTGTATATTTTGACGAAACTGGTTGTAGTAGCACTGGAATGTATTATTTAAGACCTAATTGAAATTAATTTATTGTACCTACTGCCACAAATAAATCAATCTTTATCTTTATTTCAACATTAGATTATAATTAAACCCTGAGGGTCGAACGGTTGCAATCCCGCCACATTATATATAGTTTAGTATTCTAGTATATAAGAATAGTATTCTAATTCGCTTGTAGTGAGTGCACTAAATTCCACTTATTTATCAAAACAAAAATCTACAAAAAAAAGGAGAGTATAATATAGGTCGAAAGCTAACTGTAGAGCACAAAATCTTCCCAATAAACCTTTCGGACCTAATGGAAAAAAAATCCGAAAGGTGGCAACGGTGGCGTGTCCCGAATGCAGAATTCAACACAAAGTATCATTTTTCTCAAAATTGAAACCGTACATCAATGTTAGACTTTAGTTTACGAATAATAAATTAGATGACAGTACTTTTAATCTGAAATTCACAATAAACTAGACAATAGTTTATCTCAATACCAAGACGGCTGCGTGTCCCAGGCTTAAGCGGGAATTCGGTGGTAGTTACTAATCACACTACACATCAGAAGTGAACCATTTTAAAAGCTTCGCAATTAGTTGGTATTATTCGTCCATCACGCCCCTGCGGCTGGAGAGACAGGTGGATGATTTGTTGTCGATTTTAGGACTTTTTGCGTGTAAATACTTAATACGGTGGATTTGGTCCATTTTGATTTTTGAATTCGGTGAATATGATATTTCAAAAACTAAATTTTATAGTTGTATGCAATATTTTTTACATCACTACTAGTTTCCCACTGAAAATGAATAAGGAAAATCAAAACAGAAGACAAAAATTGGAAATCAAGAAGATGAAGAAACGTGCTACAAAAGCAATGATAAAAAGCGATCCGATCATATATGAAAGGTTTAAAGAAAAAGATAGACAGAGGTATGCGAAGCAAAAGGCTGAAGAAAAGATTTTGAAGCTGCATGAATTACCTCGTCATATATAAAAAGCAATGAAAGATGTTAATCGTACAAGTTTCCAAAAATTTATTGGTTTTGTAGCTACAGATTACGTTCTAATTTTTTTTTTAAAAAAAAAGGTGTGAAATATTAGTGTGATTGAAAAAAAGGCTGAACAGCCACCATGAAAACTGATTTTAATTAATAGTCATAAGATGAAACTGATGACGAGATTTATGAATAAATTTTACTTTTTAAAGCCTGATTTCATAGTTAGTCATATTAGGAAATGTTTATATAGACTATTGAATGTTTTTATTGCTTTTCATAACATTTTATACAAAAATTATGCCTTTTGTTAAAAAATCCTGATTTCGGTAGTTGCTGAATTCGGTGGATCAAATATGTCATTAACTGTTAAGAATCTAGTTACCCAAATAACGGAATCTTATGTAAATTTGAGTTCTTTTTCCTTCGCGCTCAATGTTTTTCCGGAAATTAAGAAAAAAAAATCGAACACCTAAGTCAGAGAATCTAGCACTTCTTGGAAAAATGCCCTTATAGTAACATAACTGCTCAATACCCTGTGCAAACAGTACAAAGAAAACTATTTTATCCGTAATCGGTGGCTAAGGGAACTATTTATAAAAAGCAACCCCTAGAGTTTTTTCTTGTTTTTAACGGTCTTCAAAAAGAGGAGGAAATTCTCAATTCGACTGCATTTTTTTGTGTGTATGTTACGTTATTATTCCGACATTCGTGAACCGATTTCGATGATTCTTTTCTTGTTAGAAAGCCTTAGTTGTGGTGTCATTTAAATTTGAAGAAAATGTTCCACCTCTAAGGGTGGCAAACTAGGGGATGAATCCGCTTTATTGGATTTAACCCACTTTCCTTTAACCGATTTCAATAAAACTTGGCAAATAGATGTAATTCCACAAACTTTTTAGATTTTTTTTCATAAAAAAATATTCACAGACGAATCTGAATCTGGCTGACGTGTATGTGACATGTAACATATGAAATGAATAGATTTTGAATATGACTTGAACAAATTCAGCCTACGATATTTTTTATAAGCAAAATGTTGAAACATTTAAAATTTGCTGTTAATAAGTGTACTTTTAATAATTATATTAATTAACAAGTTGATTGTTTAATTTCTTTTTACATAGACAATTTTTTTGACAGTTTCTAAATAATTAAAATAAGTACTAAATTCGTTTGTACCTCCATCAATGAGAACTTTTGAGTAGGCACAAAAAACAGAATTACTAGATATAGTTATATGACGATCTATGATCGTACCGTTATTTTAAAACTAAATAACGATCCAGAATATATTTTTTTATGATTTAATTGTCCGATATTGTGCTTGAAGAGTAAAAAAGAGATTTGGTCCAAAAAGGAAGTTGCGAGGTTTTAAAATTTAGACGACGATATTATTGTTTATTTTAAAACCTACTAAATTCCTGGCTAGTACATTAATTTGAAGTTAGTCATGTAGAAATATTTAAAAAAAATCTTTTCCATGTTATATTATGATGGGAAAGTGCCACTTAGGTCGTTTGGGTATCATGTCACACAGACATTTCGGGTAATGAACGTGCGTTAACGAGGCTGTTTCTTGTGGCGACACAGCGCATTATTTTAATTATTTCCATGATCTTTCCTTTGGGACTCCTTGAGTGAAAAGTAGGTATCATTAATTTAAGAGTAATTTTAGGCTCTAGCTGTGTGTTCCGATAAAGCGATAAAGCAATGGTTTACAAAACAGACAGAGACAGAAGGGTAACATTGTATCCTCTGTCGCATTCATCTTACTGAAATTCGAATTCTTAATAGGGAGTGTGGAGATGTGGGTGTCTCCTTCATCTCTATCGCAAATTGACGTTGCTTTCCCTACCCCCATTTAAACCTTCCAGTTGTCTCTATGGTTATAAATGCATGAGTATCTTGGTACTTGGTGCAACGGGCTGGTATCCGCAACTCGACGACAAAGCGCCTATTTTGCGTAAATGCATGAGTATATTCATATTTACATTATTGTAAATGATGGTAAATATTTATCTATACTGAATTTCTCTCCTTTGTTTTCTTACCCTAAAATTTCCACAGCTTTAGTTAATTAAAATTACTTCACCTATACAGGAAGAAAAAATTTTGAAGAAATGTGAAATACAGCACTGGGGCAGAAAAGTATTTTTAAAAGTATTGTAATGAAATTCAATAAATTGTTACAATGGATGATTACCATAGTTCGAATTAAAAGAACACTTTACGAATAAGTCGCTGCCTTCGAAAGAAAGGAATATATCTTGAATATTTGTTAGGTGTTTCTGTTAAAAAATAATAGTTAAATTGTACGTTTGATATTAAGTACATAGTTTGTTTATGCTAGAAATCCATACCACATGTTTTATACAGAAACTTTCATTGTATTTTAATCAGCCCTTTTTAAAAACACCTTAATTTTGCATTATAACTTAGTAGAAAAAATAAATATTTGTTACTGCATATAAAGGGTAAGGGTATAAACTAATTGAAATTTGACTTTTAATACTTGACTCATGAATAGAACTAAAGGACACACTTTGACTTTTTATTGTAAAAAATAGGTTTATTGATGTCATTTGTGCCCGTTGAGCAATTAACTACAATTATTGAGATAATATATTTCTACAAAAAAATATAGGTAGATTGGTCATTTTTCCTGATTTCGAATATATTGTTAGTAAGTAGTTTCGTACCGAGGGTAGATCACATGCTCTGATGTAAGCAGGAACTATATGTATAGTGCATTCTATTAATTGAAATAGGTTGTGTCTTTTACATTTTTTACATTTCTTGTTGTTGTCCGTTGTTTTTGACTATACGCTAGTTTCTAAGTGTTTAATGAGTGGTTCTAATTGATTGCACATATTTAGTACGATACGTAAGCAGCTAGATGGCATTACTTGAATTTTGTCTCGCGCTATCAATGTGTTCAAATTTTGTGAAACAATCTGATGGATTCTTGTATTGAATGAGGTATTTATAGCGTAATAAACCCGGTCTTTGCAATGATAATGAAGTCTTATTGCGTACCTACAACTCACATGGTGCCACTTAGCACTGCGATGTACAATGACAAGTGAAATTGCAAACAGTTGAATCAACAACTTACGTTGAAGTACCTATTCCTAAAAAAATATAAAATAGGTAATAACTTATACTAATTAAATTATTAATTTTAGCTAATCTCGCTCAATAAAACGGCTAATTATATAAGAATAAATCATTACTACTTTGTTCTACCTTATATATTTATTAACTGAAAACATTGACAATCAATGACTGAAAATAATAAAATAGTTACAAACTTACCAAATCTTATAATACAAACAATTATTTTTAGCATTCAGTTTTTCATATTTTATCCAGCACTTATGTGTAAACTAATTGTTCCAAACTATTATTTTTTACATTCCTGTGGTGGCTTCTCGAAGGTAGCGCATACGGAGTCTATAAGGTCGGTCTCGGGATCCATTACTTTATGATTGATGACTGTATAAGGCACGTAAGACATATTCTTTAATTTTTCAGTTTCTTGCGCGTAATATATAACGAGATTGATAGCCTCATCGCTATTGGCGCAGGTTCTAATGGGTTCAGCGTTGAGGTGCAGACGTTGACCACACTGAAATCGTATTTGATAGTTGTGACAATTTTGCTGCAGCAATTTACTGTTTAGCAATATTTTGACTTTTTTCCCTGCTACATAAGTACCTACATACATTATATTCAAAATATAAACTATAGTTAATCATAATTGGTTTGCCAGAGGTTCTAGTAACAGTGCAGCTTCTTGTGAAACAAGTTCGTACACGAAAGTACAGCCACGTTGCCTATTTCTGCTGCCAAGCAGTAATTTCGGTTTTAAATGGTAGGTGCTGGTGAAATTACACGCACACGAATTTCAACTTATGTCTCAGGGTGACGGGAGTAGCGGCAGTGCCTCTCGGATCTTTACGATTTAAAGTTCAGAGCGGCACTGCAACTGTCCATGTCAGGACAACAGCGCGCCGCTTAGCACCAGGCGAACGACTGATTCGTCCCATCAATTGATGTCATAAATAAAAAGGTGATTCAGACATAATAGAAAAGTAAAAATTTTGTTTACTGGTTGACGTACCCCACACTACACACGCCGACTGTTTTTTATTTAGTGAAAGTTAGGTGATTCATCATATCAATATTTTTTTATTGTGTAAGATGATTCTTCAGATTTCTTCATACGAGCCGTCAACTATGGATCTAAATTGCACCAATGTAAAGAAAGTGGTACCTGTTCAGCATCTTTGTCCGTAGACCATTTCTCCATCAAACAGGTGTTAAATGGGACATATTCGGACATTTTTGGCAAATACTGAATAGCACATGCATGTAGCCCGTTGCCGTAACATTCTGTTGGACCATGCTGGCATTCAAATGTGGTCTTGTTGTCATTCTTTTTCATCTGCACATTAAAATTTAGCACTTCAAGTATAACTTTATGACGAGGTGAATAATGGCAATGAATGATCTCATAACTTCTGGTATTTGTACTGTTGAAACAAACGACATTTGTTTCACAACTTTTAGATATTGACACAAAACGTTTTGCTGCTTTTATATAATAATGCAGTATTCCAGAAAAAAATGTGTCGTAAGAGGTTATACTCACGATAAAGTTGCACTTGCTCTGCTCGTCGCTGTATGGTTAGTTTAAAAACATTGTATTCTGCAATACTGCTTTATTGTGTAAAGGCAGCGATTTTTATGCTTCTCATAATACAAATCAATATGCCGATGCATTATCATGTTATATCTTGTTGGTATTTTGGAAAATTGCACCCTTTGACAATTTATCAGGAGAGAAGAAAGAAGAGAGTTTAAGCATTCTGACTTTAACTGAGTGGTATCTTTTTGCATACACCACAGTCGTAAACATGTCAGTACTCATAGTATAATGTAACTTGTTGCTTAAATGTTGTTACGCTGTTATGTTATTTCTGTTTTTATTTATATTAGTCTCTTTTGTGCGTTTTTTATATTGTGGCGTTGTAATAAATAGTTTCTATTGCATTAAATGGTTTCTATTCGTCATCATGAGATCATCATCAGTTCCAAAATGAAAAAGATACCTGTGCGTGTCCGAAAGGATATGTATATAGCTCTATGTAATTCATTAGTTTCTGAACAACAGGAGCTAGTTCTTTTACATAGAATTGTTTACAATATGGGCATAAACTTTCGTAGTATAAGTCTATTCTGACTTTCTCCGGTACCTGTAATTGTAATTACCATCAATTAATAAATTATCGAGTTCTTACGCGGTTTTCGTGATAGTTACGAAAGGAAATGAAATTATTCTTTCGGATCTATTTCGCGGATATTTGTTTTTTCGAACCAACCAACATTTCGGGCCCTTTACAGGTCCCAGTCAGCCATGACCATGGGACCCGAAAAGGGCCCGATAGGATATTTTCTTTGAATAAAAAAATATACACTCTATTTGTAACTGCTTCCGTGGCCGAAGGATTACCATGCGGGTTTGCCACGCATAGGTCAAGGGTTCAATTCCCAGGCCGGGGGAAAGATTTGTATTGCCTACATTTATTTCTCTCGTGAGTTTGTTTGTTGTTGTTGCTGTGTGTGTGTGTTAGTGTGTGCGTTATTTATATCCGAAAAAATATTTTAATTTCCAATTAATAAATTAATTAGGCATTTGGATTCATCGTGCGCTATTCGTCAAACCAAACGGTGTAAATGTTTACCCATTGAAATGTGTTCTAATTCAGTAAATGTGAGGTATATATTTATATATGAATACAAACCTGAAGGTGATCCTTACACAAAGTATTTGTATCATTTGCCTCCGTTGAAAGTGTATCTTCAATCCTATTTGTGTGTATGTCTAAAACAAAATTAAAATATTTGAACATATTGTGAAACGTCTAAAATGTCAAGAAATTCTATACGAACAACACTTACCGCATTGAATAGTGCTGGCAAAAGAAAGTATAAGTAAGAGTAATAAAACATTCATATTTAATGTCAATACGATAGCACTGTATTACGCTAACAATAACTTTGAACAAACTACATTTGAAACAGTGTTTTGAACTGGCAGAGCCACATTAACCCGATATCGTTTATCGGAAGCAAATATAAATAACTATGAGGCGTTATTAACATATTGCGTACACACACTATGTGTGTGTTCACAGTAAATGTATATTTCCTAATATATACACACATATTATATTGATATTTTTACTAATACATACATTTACTAAACACCCTGATGGGTTTGATTGTATTTCAGCAGGTGATCGGACTCGTGATGAAATAACTGCATAAATATTTTTATTATGAACTCCATTTACTTGTGGTACATTCAAAGATATATTTAGAGGAAATTGCGTCACATTTGGAAACGTGATGGTTGCGTCAGTAGTCCGAAAGGACAATTTCCACAAATAACGTTTGCTCGAATTTTCATAACCTTGAAAGTTATTTTGAGAGTAAAATGTCTTTTAAACCTTTTTTTTATCTCTGGGAAACGCGTTACGCGTACCGCTCGGCTCGGGGGGAGCTGCGAGCGGTTATGTGTGACTCCCGGGCTCTAGCCCGGTATACACACTAAAACCCAGCGTTTAACCCCTACCGCCATAGCGAGGCGCCCCTGGATCCGCTTACGCATACTACAGGAACGCCTCGGCGGATGGTCCGCGTGAGCGGACCCCGGCCTTCAGAGAGTGCCCCGGGTCAACACAAAGGCACCCTCACACTTGTGAGCACAGACTTGGAGATAGGGTCCCCCGACCCCTGTCCCCACGGCTCACTACAGCGGGGGAAGAAGGTGGGCGTACTGCCTCCTTCGTCTCCCCAGCCGCCGTCTTCGGAGCGGGTCAGCGAGGGGGTCGTCCTCTCTGAGCCGTTCCGAGGCTTCCTTGTGCGAAAGTACGCTTTCACAGAAGGAGGCCATTGCATCCCAACATCTCTGACTGTCGAGCATCGCGCCCACGATGGTCGATAGCGAGAGATCTCCGCCCACTACCGCGGTCAGGGAGTGCCGCTGGGGGTCCCATGCCGCACATTCTGCCACGGTATGACGCACTGAATCGACGGGAGCGCCACACTCGTGACAGACAGGGGTCGTCTCCCGACCTGCAACCCGGTGCAGGTATTTTTTTTTTTTTTTTTTTTAATTTATTGAGGGACAAACAGTTACATACATGTAAAAAAATACATATTTTAAAATTAACTTATAAATAAACCCATAGTCCCCTAAATATACATTAAATAAACAAAAAGTAGGTAAACAGACATTCTGATACACAACAAACAGCACGGAAGAAAGAAAATTATGCATGTGGTCTATGATAAACAACTTCAAGTTATGAATCGATATAGCCACAGACATATAGACATAACACATACAACATAAAAAAATCGTGCGCAGGAACATCGGAACAGAATAAACATATTAATAAACTGCAAGATTGCACACAGAGGTAACTCACTGTGCTCAGGACCGGTCGTGTCATTACGTAACGGAACACAAATGGTAATTGAATTGAAAAATCATTATTAAATTATTAGCAATGCATTGAGTGAGAAAACAAAATGGTAAATGAAAAGAAATATAGTCTTTGCAATCCATCAGTGAACCAGTTCAGCTATTTCCAAGTTGTGTTATATACAATTTATAATAATAATATTGCTATCACGGCATGCGAGAACCCCGGATAGACTTACATTGGAAATAACATACGAAAACATGGTTTCCACAAGGTAAGCACAATAGTTAACTAATTATATTACAATTAATAATTACTATAAATATAATAAAATGTAACTATAATAAGGTTAATTTCATTTCAGACAATAACATGAATCACAATTAATATTTTTTCAATCAAATCCAGAGATGTTACATGTGAGCATCAAACTTTATCAAGAGGAATGAGAGTGGGTGGCATGCAGGCCAGAAACTTTAGGTAAGAACAAGATATTATACTGCTACTACATACTACTATAGAAAGATTACACATTTTTGATGGTATTACGTAAATTTATTTGTTTTACTGCAGGACTCCTGACTCCATTATAAAGCACAAGAGTCAAGACGGCTCACTTATTACTAGGAGAACCTATAATCCATTTGTATACCTCACAATCATCGACATAATACGCAAACAAGAGGAAACAGTGAAAATACAACAAGACAAGTCACACTACAATAATGGACAACAAAAACAAACAAAGAAATCACAAAAACGGTTTAAACATTATTTATCCATAGTATTAGTTTTATTTTATATAAGTTCAGTGATGTGGTTTTTAAATCTTAATAGCGACTTATCAAATATTTCTATACTCATTAATTTGCCATTATATAAGGTACATGCTCTCTTTATAAAACTATTACTTCCATAGCAGGTCTTACTTGGTTTAATGGCAAATAGTGGTTTTTTACGACTTGTTCTTTCTTGCTTAAAAGGTACACGAAAATAAATTTGTTCCAATAGGAAAGGGGCATCAACCATGTTATGTAATATTTTAAACAAGTACGTGACGTCAGCGATCTCGCGACGTTGCTTCAAGGTGTTAATTTTATGGAATGTAAGGGATGAGTCATAATCTGTATGCTGGTGACCGATTCTATAATCCAAGGATTTAACAAATTTTCGTTGCAAATTTTCAATTTTACTTTGATGAACCTGTTGATACGGATTCCAAACTGGACTTGCGAATTCCAGCCGACTTCGCACGTAACTGTTGAATAATAGTTTATAGGTAGAAGCGTTTTTAAATGGTTTTCCTACGCGTAATATGAAACCCAAAAATTTGTATGACCTATTAACAATCTTATCTATATGGGGGATAAATGAAAGTTTGGAGTCTATTAACACACCCAGGTCTCTAATCTCACTTACGCGATTCAGATCCTGTCCACAAATTTTATATGGGTACGTTATTGGATTTCTTTTCCTTGTAAAAGAAATGGTAAAACATTTATCTGCATTCAGAAATAAATTGTTACTCTTACAAAAATCAACAAAATCATTTAAATCGGTTTGCAGTAACGCAGCATCATTTGTTTCCTTTACAACTCTGTATAACTTCGTATCATCCGCATATAGTAGTACGTTTGAGTGACTTATGGACTTTATCAGATCGTTGACGTAAATAATAAATAATAAAGGTCCCAAATGAGATCCTTGAGGCACTCCTGAGGGTATATTCTTGTATATGGAACGGTAACCACAGAGTGTAACAGCCTGACTACGGTTTTCCACGTATGAACGTATCCATCGGAACAAGTCACCGTGAATTCCGAGCTGCCAGAGCTTAAAAAGTAGTGTGTTATGACAAATTTTATCAAACGCTTTCGCAAAATCTGTATAAATAGCATCTACTTGTGCGTTATCATCCATTGCTGACAGAATAAGCTCCGTAAAAGTTAACAAATTGCTATCCACACCACGCTTTCTACAAAAGTCATGTTGGTTCGGGACAATAACATAATAATAACATAATAACATAATAACGCACACACTTAACATAGCCCCGCACTAGGGAAACCCTGTGTCGCGGGTGCCATGGACACACACATAGAGAACGACAAATTACACCCAAACTCACGAGAGAAATAAATGTAGGCCATACAAATATTTCTCCCGGCCCGGGAATCGAACCCGGGGACCTCTGCGTGGCAGTCCGGTATGGTAACCGTTCGGCCACGGCCAATGACGCGCTGCACAACCCCAAACAGTTGATCAGTAACAATCCTTTCCTGTATCTTGGCGAAATGGCACAGTTTGGAAATCGGCCGATAATTAGTGACATCCTCACACACGTTACCCTTAGGTATAGGCGTTATCCAAGCATACTTCCAGACTTGAGGCACGCAACCACTGCTAAAAGATAATTTGAAAATGTGAGTGAGGGGATAAGTCAGCGCATCAGCACACTTGCTAATTAACAGAGGATGTATCCCATCCGGCCCCACACCCTTATTGACGTTAATTTTTTTTTTAAATATTTGTTTACCAACTTAAGATGAATCTCGACGGAACCAATATCCAAAACTGTGTTTACGGGAGCGCCCCATTGATTAGGCAGCGATTGGCTAGTATTATTTACAAAAACCGAATGAAAGTGTTCATTAAAGAATTCACAAATTTGCTTCCCATTGCTACTACTTTTTCCGTTAAAGGTCATCGTTTGCGGTAACCCATTATTAGCCTTAATAGCTTTGACATAGGTCCAGAAATACTTAGAGTTTGTTTGAATTTTATTTTCTATATACTGTATGTAATTATTGTAACATTCGGTTTTCATGCGATTGGCTCTTTTTCTCAGAACACTGAAACTTTGATAATCCAAGGGATTCCCATACAACTTCCACAGTTTGTGATATTTTCTTTTTTCATTCAAAAGTTTTCTTAAGGGCTTAGTATGCCATACAGGAAAGGACTGCGAAGATCTGATAATCTTTCGAGGAACAAACTTTGTAATACAATTCCTTAAAATGTAGTAAAATTTCGAAATACATTCCTCTAAGCTTAAAGCTTTAAATTTTTCAGGCCAGTCTATGTTTGTAAGTTCCTTATTAATAGAAAGAAAATCTGCTGCACAGAAGTTATAATTATAGGTGGGTACTGAATTTAAAGACTTAAAGTTATTAATATTCAAACAAATTTCTATTGACTTATGATGGATATCCTCTTGGGTTAACGGTTGACAGCAACTCGTGACATTGCAGTTAATATTACTCATCACTAGGTCCAAGATTCTGTTATTGGTGTTATAAGCACCATTAAATTGTTGTAGATTAGTGAACGCTAAAAAATCTCTCAACGATCTTACAGCATAGTCACCACCTTTTTGTAGTAATTTGCTGAAAGTGCGAGTCTCCTGCCAAACCGCTTCAGAAACATTAAAATCACCCACAATTAAAAATATATCATTTGGCCGATTATTAAATATATCGCTAGCACAATTAAAAAATGCTTCCAGAGCGTCACGGTAGCCTGGCCCATGTGGTATGTAAACACAGGCGATGTTTAAACATCTATTACTACTACCTGTATTTAGGGGTATGGATAGCCATACGCAGTCGGAAGCAGCGCGCGGTGGCGTCGGCCAGTTCCGTCGCAGCGGCATCAATGTAGTGCGCACTGCAACCATGACTCCACCGCCACGCATCGCACCGCTCTCCTCGTGCGAGCGGTCACAGCGAAACACAAAGTACCTACTATCAAAATACTCTCGGTCGTAAAAATCAGGTGTTAACCAGGTTTCAGTCACACGTATAAAATCGTAGTCAGTTATAGCTATCTGGGATAGAAAGTCGTGGGATTTCGTACGTAAACCCCTTACATTCTGATAATAACCTAACAGATGTTTAGTTGTCGGATCCATAATAGTTAATTAATATAAACACGTATTTATTATTCGCCATGAGACCATTAAAATTCACTAAGTAATTAGAAGTAATTAAATTATAATATGCAATTTTATTTATATATTGTAGCAAGAAGTAATTTCGTAAAGTAATAAAAAATAAAAGTAAGAATTAAATGTAAATATTTTAGAAAAAGAGTGCATTGTACACAAATAGAAAAAATAGTTACCACATCACTTAACGTAGAATAACAGATACAGTTAAAACACATAATTGCAATAAGAAACGAACGTATAAATCTATCTACACTGGTAAAAAAATTAAAAAGCCACTGTTTAATGATTAAAAATATAAACAAATCGTTTAGAAGTCATTTTAACTTGGATATGTCGGCATCATTCCTGATGACGACAACCTTTGACCTTTCGTTTTTGCGCATCAATATCTTACAGTCTCTAACCCATAAATAAGAATAATTCAAGTCAGTTTTGACTTGTCTAGCACGCTTTAATAATTGTTTGTTTCGAGGAGTGAGGTGATCCGACACATACACATTTAGAGAGGGACCCGAAAGATCGACGTCGGCAGTAGTTAGGCCGCGTCGCGAGCGCACTGCTGCTAGGAATTTATCCTTACACAGTCGCCGAGCGAAGTTTACAATGATAGCCGGGGGACGAGGGACGCTTGATTCTGCAGACACACTGCTCGCTTCGAACCTCCGTACACGCGTGACACCATCGATGTCACGGTCGTCTAGTGAGTAACCAACCTTATTAGAAATGGCCCGTATTAGCGTTGAGAGGTTCTCACCAGCAGCAATAGGTATCCCGGATATCTCGACGTTGTTCATCCTAGCTAGCTGGTCCCGTTGCTGCAACTCATCTTCCAATGACGATATCGACTCTTTAGCTGAGTCTAGGTCTTGTTTTAATTTAGGAATCAACGCCGTTTTGTTTTCATTTATTATTAATCTATCCTCAATGTCACTGAAACGAGATTCCATTTCACTAAATTTTTTATTAATTTCCTGAATGCTATCGGTCACTCTTTGAATATCTGACCTCATGCCAACAAAATCGTTCCTGAATGCTCGCAGCTCCTTTAAAACTAGAGAAATATTTACTTCACGGGTGCTTGTCGATTCGTCACTATCATTAGCTGCGATGCAGCCGGAAGCTAAGTTGTCGCAAGATATGTCAGCCTCGACTGGGAGCTGCTCGAACTGTCTACGGGTTGGTGTCTCATCGCCTCGAACACGTCTCGTAGCCATTACACAAGAAGGGCATAGCCAGTTATGTTTATTGGCAGTATAGGTGTTCAACGTCATATTTATACACTTATAATGATAGCATCCCTTACAGGTAGCACAGGCTAATACCTCTCCTCGGTTTATTTTATTGTTACACGCTAAACAATTCATTATGTTAATGTAAATTTTGTGATTATGGTATTTAAACTCTATTGAATATATGTATATTCAATTGATTTTGTGCAACCACTAGTTTGTTATAATTATGAATACAAAGATCGAAAATTTGAAACTGTTTTTACTTCACAATTCCCCTGAGAGACGTCTCTGAGTAGTTTAGTGTAGGTGACACTACTGCGTAGTTTTACTCTTTGTTCGTTGACGTAGCGTACAAGGCGATGACGCGAGATTGAGGCACGCACGCAATTATCATACTTAGGCTGCGCGCGCGATAGCGGCGGAACGGTGAAATTCACTCGCGGGGCGCGAACACACAAAATATTCGCAGGTAGTTACGCACTAAGACCTTTAACACTTATTTGCATAAATTCGATATAAAAACACACTGTAATGCACAACAAAATAATAATTTGATAATTTGGAAAGTTATAATAGATTACGTTACAAATTTAATAATAAATTTGCAATATTTACACTATAATGAAAATTGTTTATAGGAGCTCGTACAAAGACTGATCTACCAGATTACCGTTGCGGCAAAGATGATGTGATGTGATGTGATGATGATGATGATTCGCCGAAACATCCATGTCCGGTGAGAACCTGCACCAATCTGCACCAATCTGCGTGGCGCTCTCCACGTGCCCTGGCTTCCGCACGGCACCTGTAGGTCTGCTCGAGGACGGACGCCTCGAGCTCCCAGGGTGCGGATCCAGCCAGGGCGCATGCCGCCGCTCCGGAAACCGTCCGGTACGCCCGAATTGCCCTCACCGCCATTAGCTTCTGCGGCCTGCGCAGAAGCGGCCGCAGTCTGGTGGTGAGGGCCTCCGCCCAGATGGGCGCCCCGTAGAGGGCCATGCTCCGTATGACGCCAGCATAAAGCCGACGACATAGGGAGCTGGGTCCCCCCACATTTGGCATAAGGTGCCCAAGCGCCGCCGCGGCGGACACGAGTCCAGGGTGAGCCCAAGATACTTTATATGAGGGCTCACCCCGATCCTCCTACCTCCAACCTCCACCCAGGAGCCGGGCGGAGGCCCTCGACGGAGGCCATAGAATGCTATGACCTCTGTTTTGTCGAAGGCGACCGTGAGCCCCAGCTCCCCAATGCGGTTGACCACTAAGGCGCTTCCCTCCGTGGCCAGTCGCGACGCTACCCCCCAATCCCGCCCCCGGGCGTGCTACGCAGATGACACCCAGTCCAACGGGGAGAGATCCTCGGAGCACGTAGTCGTACCCGAGGTTCCATAATAGCGGGCCCAGAACCGAGCCCTGTGGAACCCCGCGGCACATGCTCCGCTCCCTCATCTCCCCGTTCCGGTCAAGGAAGGAGATCTTCCTCCCGGTGAGGTAGCTCGGCACCACCTGCCTCAGATATTGAGGCAGGCGGTGGAACTTTAGGGCCTCCTCGATGATGGAGAACGGGAGACTGTTGAACGCGTTGGCGATGTACAACGACACCGCCACAACAATCCCCCGCTCCGCCTTGGCCCTCCTCACCTGTCCCCTTAGCTCCGCTATCGCATCGATGGTCGAACGCCCAGCCCGAAATCCGAACTGGTGCGACGACACATCGGGGTCCACACTGTCGAGGTGCTCGATGATGCGGGCAGCGAGCACTCGCTCGAAAAGCTTACCCGCCTCATCGAGTAGCACGATGGGCCGATACGCTGATGGGGACTCGACCGGACGCCCTTCCTTCAGGAGGAGGCAAAGGCCTCCTTCCACACCTGGGGACTCCCTTCCACTCCCCGACGCCAAACTGGCATCGAAGAGCTTCAATACGCGTTCTCCCAGGTGTTCCAACGCAAGTGCCAGGACTTTCCCTGGCACACCGTCCGGACCGGCGGCCTTTCTTGTGGCTCTGAGCCGGTCCGCTGCCGCCTTTAGTTCCTCCTGTGTGTTGAGGAACTGTATCGGCCTGTTCCGGCTCCGCAATTGGCGGAGCCATGGAGGGAGGAGAGAAACTCTCATCCCCTCCGGGAACAGGCCAGCCACCACTTGACCGAGGAGCTCCGTCTCCATCGTCTCGGCGGGGGGCGCCCGGTGCTGCAACTTGTTGCGCACCATCTTGTACGGGCGTCCCCATCCAACGTGGCCCCTGCTGGGCCAGATCTTGGGCCCGGCTTATGCCGACTCGGAGCTCCTCTTGCGCCGCCCTATAGGCGGCGTGGTGTTTCTCCTCCTCCTGGGGCGTGTGACGCCTTCTGCGACACCGCTTGTGCGCCCTCCGCGCGGTGTTGCTGGCGGATCGCAGAAGCGCGAGCTCGTGCGTCCACCAGTAGACCTCCCTCTTGTTGGGAGGCCTGCCGCCGCTACGGGGCATTGCGGCATCGCAGATGGCAGTCAGATTCCTTCTGAACCCGACTGCCATCTCGTTCGAATCCACTTGGGGGGAAGCGCCCCATGCGGCCACGATAGCCGCCTCCGTTGCCCTTTCGACATGGAATTTGGCGAGGACCCAACGGGGAAACCCCTCTCGCCCTCGCCCTCGCCGTGCAGGCGCCGTCATTGACGCCTGCGAGGAGGAGACCCTGAACCTTATGTATACGTGGTCCGAAAGGGTCTCCTCCCCTCCAGCACCCGCCAGTCCTGCACTTGTGAGGCTAGGGTGGGGGTCGCGAACGTTATGTCCACGATGGAACCCCCCACCTCCTCACGCAGGTGTTGGCGGTGCCGCGGTTGGCGACGACCAGGCCATTGGCCGTCACCCACGCTTGCACCGCTCGCCCCTTGGCGTTGGGCAAGCGGCTGCCCCAAGCCGGCGATTTGGCATTGAGGTCGCTCATTATTAAATGCTATCCAGATGTTGTACCATCGTTAACGCTTGGTGGCACGCCTCTTAATAGAGTTGATAGGTTTAGATATCTTGGTCACGTTATTACTGACAGCATGAAAGATGATCTAGATATTGAAAGGGAGCGCAGAGCGCTGGCTGTGAGAGGAAACATGCTGGCCCGTAGATTCACTCGTTGTACAAAAGACGTGAAAGTTATGCTTTTCAAAGCTTTTTGTCAGTCAATGTACTCGAGTAGTCTATGGGTTAGATATACACAGCGTACATACAATTCAATACGAGTACAATATAATAACATCTTCAGGATGCTGTTGGGACTGCCACGGCACTGCAGTGCATCCGGCATGTTTGCTGAAGCGCGAACAGATGACTTTTATGCCATCAGGCGTAAAAGAGTGTCATCTCTGCTAAAGCGAGTGCGTGACAGTGGCAATGGCATCCTGAGGATGTTTGCCCATCGTTTTGACTGTAAAATTTTAAAGTTTTGGGTAAATATTACAACGGGTCAAATTAAGCAATAATTGTGCATTTTCCAAATTTTAATATTTAAATTTTCTGTCAATATATTCAAAATTCAATGTAATCATACTAACATAGTTCTAAGGTTTTCTTTTGTAACTAACACTATTATCTTATGGGCTATGGCCTGAAATAAATGGTTTTATTATTATTATTATTATTACCAAAATATTCGCCGGGGCGAACCTCGTCACGACCGAGCTGAGCCTCAACAAGAACGGCTCAAACTCGGCCATTGGGCGGTTGGGCGAAAAATAAACGCCCACTACCGCCACCCCTCCTCCGCACACTGCCTCCACGTAACCGGCTCCCCTCTCTTTTACGATGAGAGGGGGAGCCGACGACGGCGTGACGATAGCCACGACGCCGTCCATGTCCCCAGCCCAGTTGGAATGCCTGGGAACGTAGTACGGGTCCGCGGCTACCGCAACGTCCACTGACCACTGCGCTGTGGCCTGCATGAACAAATCCTGTGCTCTGGCGCAGTGGTTCAGGTTCGTCTGAAGGAAGTTGAGTTCAAGCCAGTCCATCAATAGACATCTCAACTTCCTCCACTGGCGCAGGTACCGTCGCTGCGGTGGAGGTCTGGTTCCCTGGGGCCTCCTAAGTCTTCATTGGGGGAGGGCGACACGCCTTCCCTCCTATTATGTGCGCCGCCGGCCGACCAAGATCGGCGCAGACGGAGCACTTTGGCTTCGCCTGACATCCAGCCGCCCGGCACCGGTAGCACAAATTGCTCCGGACCGAGCTCATTGGGCAGCGACGTCTTACGTGACCGATGCCCATGCAGCGATAGCACCGCATAGGCAATATTCAAGCACTCTGACGTGTGCAGTGCCCCACCCCACCCGGAACTTTGTGGCGACCACCGCCTTGGCGACGACGATGGGGCAGCGTACGACGACTGCCCCGCGGCCGTCCGCTCCGGTGGCGATCGCGCCCACCCCAACCTGATGAACGGAGCATGACCCTTTCGCCGCCACGGCCGCACGCACCTCCTCGGCCTCGACGGAGTCGTCGAGGTCGGAGATGCGCAGCTCCACGCATTTTATGGACCGTGTAACCGCGACGTCGTCGCCCAACACTTCCCGGAGTCTGGAGGCCAGGCGGTCTGCCTTTTCGTCTCTGGCGGCGCCCGGGACCTCCAAAATGCGGGCCCCGGTGGCGGTCTCCCTAATATGCACGTCTTCTTGGCTTGACGTGCACGGGAGATCGTCTGAGCGTACGTGACTCCCTTTTCTAAGGCCGCCGGCTGCAGAGTGAGAACCACAGCCGTTGATCGTGGCCGAGGAGGAGAAATGGCCTTCCTCGGCTTAGGCTGGGCCCTCGTCGCCGCGGGCGCGGCAGCCGCCTTCGCAGCTGCCTGTCTCGCCATCTGCCACCTCCTTCTCTCACGACTCCTTTGAGTGACGCTCTCCACCAGCGTCGACCCTTCTAAATGTGGCGTCGGTGGCGGTGCTCCGGCCCCTGTTGGGACGCGCGGAGTCGCCTTGTAACTGGTCGGCTTTGCTGCCGGCCTCGGTGCAGGCACCGAGACCAGCTTCGCCAATGGTCTGGCGGGCGGCCCCGTCCCTGGCACCCACCTGGACGTGACTGGCTGCGCCGCCCTCGGTACTGGCGTGGGAACTGGCATCAGCAGCTTTGGGGTGCGTGCAGCGCGCGCAACCTGTGCTGATGCAGTTACACGTGCACCAGCGGCCACCGCGTATGTCCGCGATGTTGCCGGAGGGCAGACGGACGGAACCGCTGCTCCCTGTGACTGCGCCAGTGCCGCCCTCTGTCTGTCTGCCGCCAAAGGCGGCCCCAAAATCGGAACTTAACCTAACTTTTTTTTTTATTACTGTGAGGAAAATGCGTTACGCATTCCCCGCCGCTGGGAGACGGCGGGGATATGTGGGACTCTCTCCTGTGGACTATGTCGATCCCCAAGAGCATACCCACTAAAAACCTCACGATGTTCCTGCGCTGGCGCTGGAGCCGCGGGGTCCCTTTCGGATGCTACCGCGACTCCGGTGGTGCTGGTCCGTCTTTGTGCGGAGCCCTACACCATCGCCCCCTTAATCATGGGGGCGACCTGCACGGAGATGCCCCGGAACATTTGGGGCATCTACCGGCGGCGGAGGCCTGTGCAATGCAGGGGCAGGATCTCTCAACCCCGCACCCTGCTGGCCTCCGCTGATGGGACGCAGGCGGTCGGCGAAGAGCCGTCGCGTGCGTCCTCTCCGCCGACGCCGAATGGGGTCCGAGAGGGCGCTGTCTTCGCGGACCCGTTCGGCTGTCTCCTTTTGCGACATCACGTCCTCGCAGAAGGAGACCATCGCCTGCCATGACCTCTCGCTTCCCAGCATGGCTCTGACTATGCTGGGCAGTGAGAGGTCTCGTCCCACCACCTCTACGAGATCCCGGCGCTGCTGGCTCCAGGTCGGGCACACCTCCAAGGTGTGCCTCGCCGAGTCTGTAGCAGCGCCGCACTCGTGACACTCCGGGGAACTTAACCTAACCTTTTTTTATTTAACCTAACCGAACCTAATCGTGTTTTTGCGATAAACATACATTATTCGGTTTTCGGTGCAATGAAAATTCGAACAAACGTTATTTCGGAAAAAATATTCGAGTTTGTGATAGGTTACCCGTTACACTATCCATGACACTGATCTGGTACACTACTGTAAACATTGACTTACAATTATATGGACGTCGGGTCCGCGCTAAAAAGTGTCCGCACTTGTAAGGCGCTAAAATCGTATACAGAGCGCCAAACTCCGCTTTAGTCTTCATTTGTTCGACTGACAGCGCGATACTGCGATGACATTACAATTTAAATTTCGAATAGGTTGACTTGGCACATTTTTTTCGTGGTTTTTGTATTACACCCGTCGTCCATTTATTTGTAAGTCAATGACTGTACATGTTAGGATTTTTTAACCGACGTCATAAAAGCACGAGATTCTCAGGTTGTGACATTTGTGAACCGATTTCGACGGTTCTTTTTTTGTTTTAAAGAGGCCGTTACGGCCGCTTTCTATATTTGATCCTGAATCTAAGATTGTTTTCTATCCAGATTTTATTCGATCCATCGATCGCTGCCGAATATGTCTATCTCGGCTCTAGCACCCTTAAAAAAAAAGGATCAGTCGTAAATTTACTCCCTCTCTGACGTTTAGTTCCACGCAATCGGAGGAAAAGATCATTTTGGCAAAAATATAAATTAATTGCAAACTTTCAAGTATAAAATATTTAAACCGTAAGTACGGCAAGAATAACGTGTTTCGAGGAACTGAACGGAACGTCAATTGTCCAGAACGGAACGTTTATTGTCAAACGAGCGGGACGGCCATCTAGGATGGAAAAAAATAAAGGGACGGCGCGCGGCGGCGGCGGCGAAATGTTAGTGTCAATTTATGTTTTGTTGATGTTTCTTCGTATTCGTGACGTGATAAACAATCTCAATTATAAAAATACCGTTTTGATTTGACTTTGATAAACAGCATTATTTCAGTTAAAACAAATTTCTATGTAAAATCTGATGTTTTGTTCAGCCTAAATTTGGATGTAAATTCAGCGTCAGTTAAACTTACCATGAAGTTTATACGCCTAAACGTTCTTGAGGACACAAGCTGCTCTTGGTAGCTGTCGCTATTATCCCAGTCCGATAACTGAGCAAATGTTCAAGTTCACAGTCGCTATCATTTAAAAATAACATCCATTTTTACACGATTACACAGTACAATCGGTCAAAATTGGAGGATCGCTACTATAGATCGAACACGTGCAAAATCCGATTTGTCAAAACTATGGATTGGATATTGAAAGCGCACGACTGTCACTACCATACAAATATCAATCTAATAATGCCATACGCCCTCCCACAGATAGATTGAAACAAAAGATCGGAATAACGATCCATCAATCGGTTATTGAAACAGTAAAAATAGGATTTGGATTGATTATTCAAGCTTAGATAGCAAATTATGGATTGAGATTGAATATAGAAAGCGGCCGTAATAAGTAGTAGTCCCATTTACTTCCAAGGGCGGCAAATTAAGGATTGAATCCGGTTTATTGGATTTCACTCACTTTCCTGTAACCAGTTTCAATAAAACTTGGCAAATACATGTAATTGCACAAACTTTTGGTGTCGGTTTTTTTTTTATAAAAAAATATATTATAAAAAAAATATCATATTCTATTACAGATACGAAGCCGAAATTAGTAGGTTTATCTTATCAGTAATGCTTTAAAAATTATAATAATTAAACAAATTATAATAGTATTATTATATTCATTGATTAAATTCACCATTATAATTATAATAAAATGTAATATAAAAACGTGTTATCTATCATGCGTCGGCGTCGGTACTGTACGTTCTTGTGGCTGCCTATTAATTTACAATTTTAATACTTCATCACATTCTTTTGGTGGGTTCTTAAAGGCGCTACACACTTGTGCCATAAGTGGTTTGTTGTAGTCACATTCCTGACCGTTGATGAGGACGTAAGGCATGTATTTAAGATGCCGTTTCAAAGTTTCCTCCGCGTACACTTTTAGCAGCTGAACAGCCTTGTCGCTCTTGGCGCAAGTCTTGATTGGTGTCGGATTAACGGAACGGGATTTCCCGCACTGAAATTATAGAATGTCGTTGTACATGATTGACTGAGAAGTACGGGTAGTGTTGGGTAGTCTTCCGAAAAGTTTCAAATAATTTAAATATCAGGAAAAAATTCAGAAAAATTGGAAAATTATAATTCGAAGGCTCGTATTATGCCCTACGTTTAGATATATCTTTTAATGTTATATTTATCATGAATTATAAAATAAAATTGTACCGACATTGCTAAATATAATTTTTTTAAACCCTGGATGGCTTGTTTTCACAAGTTCTCGTAGATAGAGTTCAGTATTTTTGACTTTCGATAGGTGTCACTGTTAAATGTGAAATTTAATTTGTTTTTTTTTTCAAAATGAATTTCCATTTTCCATTCCATGACCCAACACTATAGGTAGGGGGAACTATGGGGGGAACCCAAACACTGGCTTCTGCGACTCTCACAGTTAAGAAATCTAGAGTGTATGGACAAACAGTAGTGGCCATTTTCTTTCGAGATAGTCATCGACTGTTTGCCGATTTAAGATTACATAAAAATCTTTTCAAACGGAACGGGTTGAACATTATTCATTTCGACAAACTTTATTTGTGGCATTACTATTATAATTTTTCTTTACTTCATAATGATAAAATAAATTTTTATTTGTAAATACCTCATCAGCTGCGTTGTCTGTAGAGCCACCATTCATCAAGCAAGAGTTGAAATTGACGTAATCGATCGGGCTTTTTAGAATATCAATGGCGCATGCGTGTAAAGCATTTCCATAACATTCGTCAGGACCATGCTGGCAGTGGAAAGTAATCGTTCCGGATACGTCATCCATCTGTTAAGTTGAAAATTAATTACTTACGAAGCTTGATGTGGGGGCGCTAGAAAAGTATTGGCTTTTTATACCAATTTTCGCGTCGTCAGCAGAAAATTACTTTTCTTTAGAATTTTGCGTGTTTACATCTAATATGTCAGTCTTTGCTTGATCAATTGCTCAACTGGTGATCGTAAATCGGCTTTATTTTGAACGCATTATCACACAAAACACAAGGAAAAATAATGAAGGAAAGAGTAATGAATTTTTTTTTATGAAAAGAAAAACGTACTCAAAAGTTTGTGGAATTACATTTATTTGCTAAGTTTTATTGAAATCGGTTGATGGAAAGTGTCCGAAAACATGGTGAAAACCATTTTACCCTATTCATCCCCTGATTTACCACCCTTAGAGGTGGAATATTTTCCTCTTTTTCAACTGAGACTACTGTTGAGGTACCTCCTTTCCAAGTAAAAACAAGAACTATCGAAACAGATTTATAAATAGAAAGAGTTATCGCGTAACATACAATCGAAAATAATGCAATCGAATTGAAAACCTCCACCTTTTTTTAAAGCCGGTAAAAATAAATAAATTAGAGGTATTAGTGACATCGTAACTAAGGTAACTTTACTTTTGAATACGGTTTTTTATTTAAAAAAATATTCATTACTATTTCCTTCATTATTTTTGCTTGTGTTTTGTGTAACAATGCGTGCAAATACGATTTACAATCACCACTTGCTAATACGTAGCGCTCGTTGATTTTTCTGTCGTAACTCGTTTCTAAAATATTACAAATTTTATCGCAATATTAAAAACTTAAACAATGATCCTCCGGTTACTTATCTATACATCGAATAGGCTTAAGTTTAGCGGATTATCACAAAAATCCCCAATTTGTCAGGAATATGATTTAAAAATAACTGAACCGTATCTGGCTCACAAAGCCACATTATTATTTTAACTTATGGATAATTCGAAGGCTTATTCACAATAATTTAGTTCTGAATTTGTATTCAGTTAAGTGATAGGTATATATATAGATAGTACAAGTAAAAAACAACTTTTTCGTGGCTCAGTATTATTGAGAAGAACAAACAAAAGAAAAAAAGAAAATATACTGTTTTCTTTGCCTACAGTTGCATCATATCTTGTATTCATCATCATACGACTTCTTTTTTTTCTAGTTTTTCTACCTCTTGTTGCACATTCCGTAGTTTTTGCCTGCCCCATGTGACAGGCGGATGATATGGTGTACGTTTACTGCACTCTGTTCCGCGACTGACCATTCGCGACTGCGACCGCGTGCAATATTTTTATGGCAAATCAGTCACAAGAAGAATTAAAATTTTCTGTACAATTTTTTTACGCGTTCTCTAGCGATTATAGACACTATAAACTCTTGATAGAGGTAATCGTGCAACACGGTAGGTAGTTGGTAGTTTGTTTAAAAAATAAACATTAATATCGTACTAACTTGTCCATTACCAAAGGGATAGGTTTCCAGATCCAAGTAGTCATGTAACTTTTGAATGGTAGGAGACAGTTGAGTTGTGTATTCGTGGATACAACCCGGACACAGGCATTCGTAGAACACTTGAAGTTTCACAGTCTCGGGTCCCTAAAAACCAATTCCCTATTTAATTATAATGTAATTTGAGGGACATTAAACGAATATGTATCATCTTTAATCGTATTGTAGGTACCTGTCCTGGAGGTTCACAACTGTGTGCTCCTGAAATAAAGAAATTATTGGTGTATTATTAGAAATCATTTCATTTTACTACACAGATAGAGTTTTTTTATAATATCAAGTGACGGCACGAACAAGCAGCGCTCCTGATGGTAAGCTACACGCCTGGCATTATCAGTTGCCGTGCCCTCAGAGTTTTAAATCACAAAGCTCAAGTACGCTGATTCCGGCTATTTAGATGCTACTGAAGAGCTGATAAATAGGTTTGAATGGTTGCCATATCTGGTTATAAGGTTCATCTTTGACCTTCGCAAATATGACCGAATCTCGCAATATCACAGTCAACTCAACTCGACTCCGCAGGAATTTGCATACTATATACTCTATAATATTCTGGACAACCCTATGTCTCCCAGGTATTTGAAAGAGCGTTTCGGTTTTCTCAGGTCCCAGGATAAGCCCTGTCGCTCTCTCGTTAAGTCTCAGTTATCTTTTCCATCCTTCGATTCCGGTTTTTATTCTCACCCCTTCACTGTTCATGCGGTCAGGCTTTGGAATGCACGTCCTATTACTGTTCATGATAGTATATCCTTAGCAATTTCCAAAATGAGAGTTAAGGAGGACTATTTATCGACTGTTCCATCCATTTTGCAGGTATTATATATGTGTAGTACGAAATGTGTATTTATCTAGGTATTCCCCTTGAGACATAAGTTGACAAGTGCCATGCGTCTGTAATTTCACCAGTGCCCTTACCCTTCAAAATCCGAACGCAGTAATGTTTACATTACTGCTTGGCGGCAGAAATGGGTAAGGTGGCAGTACTTCCCTAAACGAACTGTTTCACAAGGAGCTCTACTGCTACTAAAAGAGTTGCAGATCGGAAAACAATTCTTCATCGGATTTTTTTATTGTTAAAATTATATCCTTAGGAATAATTAGGTATATCACATCTTTAAATTAATCAATTAGCGCAAAATTTGTGTAACCCCGTCTCTATTTTTTTTCTACAATATTACTTAATAATGTCGTATTAAATGTATGGGAGCGTTTAGCGTTAAGATTTTGGATGTTTCTAGTTTGATTTTTGAAAAGTTCTTTGTCAAATGATGTCATGAAAATTGTAATGAAATTTCCTTTTAATTGAAAATTGTCATGAAAAATGTGATGAAATGTCCTTTTACTCATTAGGTGACGTTCTTTCGATATCAGTTCAAAGATATCTATTATATTTACGGAATAATCGCCCGGGCACACTATACTACGCAATGTCGAAATAAACTTTGAAGACCCTAATTAAAATTAAAAAAGATTTTATTAATTAAATTTAAAAAGATTACTTCCCAAACTGGCGTTGGGGCTGCATCTGGGATCTATGTATCAGAGGACCTTGCCGCTGACCTATCGAGGCTTGTTTTTTAAAAGACGCGCAGTGGATTTAAATTTATTGTACGTCGTACGTAGTTCCTCCAATCATCTTAAACAGGCAACAATCACTAACCAATGTGTAATTAATCTAATCTTCATCATCATCAACTCATTTATACGTACTACTGCTGGGCACGAATTTTCTCTCAAGCGAGAGTTTAAGCCACTAGTTCGCCACGCTGGCCCAATGGTAGTTCCGAAGGTTTCATCACGACGTTTTCATTCATCAAAAAGGTCGTGGTACAGAAGAATGGCAACATTTCGTGTATTTTGTGACCCAGACCCAGACCTATCAATACTTGTGATTCATTATCAAAGCATCAAAAAAGCTAATTGAGTACAGCCTGTAGAAGCTGGGATTATAAAGTTGATATAGGTTATATTTACGACATTGTCCTGTATTGGCTTAAGATGTTAGTTCGTGGTAGTAGAAAACAACAAGTTTTCAGTTTGTTCCCAAAAATAATAAAGAACTTGCTGAATATTACCAAATCCGCACAACTCTGCCACATTTAATACAACTTATCATGTTCTGCAGCAATGAAATGAATAAAAATTAATCTGCCCAAATGGCAGAAATTTGCCACAAATGGTCACATTGTTCTCAATATCAATGTGACATTGACAATGGTAAGAGGCCGACCTCTTGTCAAAACGTTCCTTTGCTATAGTCGTCACCAAATAACTTAGACTATATTTTTTTCCATCCTCTAAGCCAAATAACTTAAATAAGAGGGCAAATTTGACAGCTAAAGAAGACAGTATGAAGAAGATAGTAGAAGAAGATCGTATGTAACTTTGAATGCGATAAACGAAACATTAAACTAACAATTATTAACATAATTGAGTTTAAAAAAATATATAAATATTATTGAAACATTATGTATTATGATAAGACTAATTTGAAGTACTATTTTTGTAGGAATTACAATATAAAATGCAATTTTGAGTTGCTCCGAAATTTCCTGAAAACAATTCGGTCCTAAAGCAATTATCTTGAAATAATAGTGTTGTAAGCAATTAATCGTCGAATTTCACCGAGTCACTTTGATGTCTCGGAAAAAATATTGACTTATTAAATATTAAAACGAAAATGTACAAAATAGGTGTATTTTAATTAATTATGTGTATAACATCTCTGCCTACACCTTTTGCAAATAAATGTATAATGTATCAAATTTAAAAGAGTCCCGTACGTGGAAGTTAAATGTGCGCTTGCGTTTTGGTGTATTTTTCTTGTGACTCGGCTTTGCTCTTAGACTGTTCCTGTTTTCTGAATTATGAACATTATTTGAGATTGTTTGTTGCTGACATGGACAACTTTTAACTTATTGCCAGCCGAATAATTGAAAATTTATAAAATCCTTGGCAATTCAATCTTTTTATGTAGTTGTTTTATCGACGAACATACTTATTTACACTAAATTCTCGTAATAAACTATTTATGAATTCATCGGAATGTGTGATAATTTTACGAAAATGAGAGGAATTGCTACGGAATTGCAAGGAATTCTGTAAATGAATTGCTTTTAACAGAATTGCACAATTTGGCCTTTTAGGCCCCCTGAACAACAATGAACCGAAAAATATTCTAAACAATTACAAGTTCTTAAAATTTTGAATCGATTTCTTGCAGAAATCGTATAATGTGATTACCGATATGATTAGTCCACATCTTATTTGGTGACGACTACAATTTTCATTATCTCTCATTTAAATATTGTTTAAACATTTTCGCCACATTGTGTTTTATTTTTGACTTTATGTCATTACTGTTTAATTGATTATTTCATTAGGTATTTTATAGCTTTAATGTTTTATATGTGTACTATAAAATACTCAACACTTTAGTTAGGTAAACATTCAATCATACTTAAAATAAAACGTTGTACGTTAGAACGTTACCTAATCTGTGGTCGAACTGTGTCAATTGCGTTGTGTTATTGCATCTATTCTTAAATACATTGTTTCACAATTTCTGTATTCCCGGCTGTTAAAAATATACAAAGATATATATTTATTGATAACTAGGCATAGACTTAAACGCAAAATTATACTAGCAAAGTCCATGAACGGATCTTCGTTGATTTTATAATTATTGGGTCAGCTTTCGCCACCCTTCTTTCAAATGAAATTTCAGACGAATTCCGAGAAACTCAGAGGCGGTGGGTCAAGCCATTAGTCTACCACGACTGCATTAATCTAATAGTTAAAAAGATTTAATTTTTGAAACAGACAAAATAAAGTTTCACAATATAGACGTTACTTACCGCAATTAATATTGTAGATAAATGAAAACAGAAAAAAAATTATACACATCATTGTCACGAGTACACGAATCACTTATGTATCTATATAAAAGTTTCCATTTTTATATATTTTAACTAAGTAATTTAGACAATGTGAAAATAAATAACAGGTAGCACTTAATATATACTTTACTGTTGTATGAAAATATCTTGCATTATTCAAATTAGTCTGTAAAAATACATAAAACATAAGTATTTCAAAAGTGCATTCCTAATCATGTAAGTGAAAAAGTAAATTTTTTGTTGTGGTTTGTTTGCACTGTGAGTGTCGAATGAGGAGTCACGGATTCGATTCCCGGTAGGACTAATTTGGGAAATTAATTTTTCTAAATTAGTTCTGATCTAGGTTTTCCGGGTAGTACCCCGTAATGAATTCCGTTGCCCTGGTAATCATATCATATCATTATTGTTACAAGAATATATACAACACGGTCTGCTAACTCGTTCTGGAGTTCGGTTGGTAAGAGCTGTGGCTCCGGTGTTGCAATAGACGCTGGTTCGAGTCAAGTTAGGTCGAAAGAATTTTTCTTTGTGTTGTTCGATCTTTGTATCAATAATAATTACGAAAATGAATTGCTTTTATAGGCAATTTAGGATAATGTACTCTTTTGGAAATTTGTTTTCAGTTGTAGAGGAACTCCTTGATTTGGTAGCAGTAGAGCTCCTTGTGAAAGAGTTCGTCCAGTGAAGTACTTATTTCTGCCGCAAAGCAGTAATGTAAGCATAACTGCGTTCCGGTTTGGAAAGGTAAGGGCATCGACATCATAACCTAAGGTTAGGTTATGATGTCGATGGGTAAGGGTGCTGGTGCAATTACAGGCATATGGGACTTGTCAACTTACGTCTCAGGGTGACGGACTCAGTGGCAGTGCCCCGAAGATCTCTCCGAGTGGCACTGTATGTCGTTTACCACTAGGCACACGACTTGTTCATCCTGTTACTTGGTATTATAAAAAAAAATAACCTTTTTTAATATTTGTATTATTAAAATTTGTATCACGGCTATATTATCTATATAGTGTAATCGTGAAAAACTAAAATTCATTTACTCTACAGATGAATTTTTGAATCTTATACGTAATATGACGTTGATGTTTTTTTAATCGGAAAATTATTATTGACATTTTAATTTTGTTGCGTTGGAAATATTTATTTGTAGGTTATGATGTTGTGAATATAATTCCAATATTAAAGTCAGACATAATATTAGCTAAGAACGTCATCAATTGTATACCTCTAATACTCACCGTTCCTATACTCGTTTACGTATTTGGTTCGTACGCCTTAAGGCGCAGCATAGGGGACCTCTATAAAATTGAACACCATGTATTTCATGTATATACGTTGACGAATAAATGTATTACAATTGATTCGAATACATAAACATTGTAAGGAGTTTAAATCATATACATCCGTACGTATCGACTAATGCAGACTGCTGGTCACAATGGTAAAGCGGCTTGTCGGCGGCTTTGTACTCTCGTTGAAATTGAGTTGCTCCCGTCGTCGCCACAATACCGACTTGTAAGGAAGTAAGCTGATACCATATTGCACTGATTCGTAGCTTTCTCGGTACTTATTGGACTTAAGTTTGAGTATGATGCTTTATCTTTTTAAACTCTAATGAGACTGGTACAATGTATTCTTTTAATCTCCGTTTTGCATTTCAGCTATGTACCATTTAATGAAGGTATATTTGATGTCATATGTCTTGTCAAAGGTTGCGTTAGCAAAGGACCTTTTTAGATAATAGGTATGATCTCGATATAATATACCTATATCGTCTTAGACAGGTATAATTATAATAAATAAGGTTAGCAGGTATGTGGTTAGCAGTCACTATCATATCTACATATAAACTCTTAAGACTCAGCAATCTATAATGGGAAAAGCGCTAAACACACAATGTACATTAAAATGTACTAAATATAATTACATTCTTCAGGTCCAAGCCAGTATGCCTTCAGTTTAACCTATTTTTAAGTGACTTTAAAAATGGAGGAGGTTCTCAATTCGATTGTGTTTTTTTTGTATCTATGTTACGGGGTAATTCAGTAAATTCTCTAAATTCTATAAATTATAATATAATATATAATTCTATAAAAACTCCTTAAACTCGTGAACTGATTTTGATGATTAAAGCCGCTTGTATTGATTTTAATAAACATGTTATATATGTATTTACTAAAAACTTAAAATAAAAGTTAGTGTCTTATTTTATTTCAGTTATTCCATTTTACTTTTACTGAAAAAAGCCAAATTTAGAAAAAAAAACCAAGGCGCTGCGTTTTTTTTGTTTATTTTCAAAATGTGAAAAAAAAACATTTGTTTTTTTTCAAGTTACAACACTATGTACACGGCGCCTTGAGAGCTTAATCATCATCATATATATACATCATAATATATACAATAGGTAAACAATAAAAGATGATCATTACTTCAACTAACGAGCAAAATAAAAAGTTAAAACATTTGTTTGTCGTTTTAGTTGTAAACGGAAAAGCATAGACGGATGGACAGCAGACGACGGGAGGCTGATTCTAATGAGATTGCGCCCCGCCTGATTACAAGAACGGCTAAATAACACGATTTGCCGCCTCGCCTCGCTCTGTCGTCCAATTTAAATAAACGGGCCCGGTTAAAAATTGTGCCAGGAAAGTCGTATACTTTATATCTCAGGGTAAATTAAAACATCTGTTCGAAAATCGCTGAATTGTGATAGTATGAATATTAAAGAGAAAAGACGAGTAATTATATATATCAAACTTCAAGTTACAGGCACATGGGACTTGTCAACTTATGTATCAGGGTGACAGCCACTGTGGTAGTGCTTTTCAGATCATTGCAATTTAAAGCTCTGAGTGGCACTGTAACTGTTATGGACAGACGTGTAGCTTACTATCAAGCGCACGATTTGTTCGTCCCGTCACTTGATGTTATAAAATAAATAATTAAATAAAAAGTAGTAATATTTCACATTGTAAATTGTGTACAATAAAATAACAGAAATTTTATCATTCTGCACAATCAACATCTGCAACGATTGCAAGATCAGGCGAGACTCTAATTAAAAAGTTTTCAGTTTGCACTGTGCTGTACAGGAGTTTCGATTCCGGACGTGACCTATCTCTTTAGATTTTATCTCGGCTCACTCACCTGCCCAAACAGAGCATGCTGCATTTTATCCTATATCAACTGACCCAAATATGCTACATTCATCTTTTTCAGCTCAATTGGAAATGTATTTTATTCATTTCACGTTTTTCGTTTCACTGAATAGTCAAATATGTAGCATTTTTCAGATCAAACTTATTTTAGTTCCAGGTTTTATTTTCGGATTCACTGCATTTGCCAGATGTAACATTATAAAGAGTGCAGAAGCTAGACTTCTGAAAATTGTATTATAAATATATACTAACACTTCTAATGTCAAAATCAACTTAATTTCTATATTTCTTATAATTATTAACACAACGATCGATAGTTATTAACACAAAGAAAAATTTTTTCGATCCGGCTGGATTCGAAGCAGCGTCTTCATGCATATCATGGCAAACGTTCTCTCAACTGAGCTACGCAACGAACCACCAGACCTTACAAACGGAAAGAATAACAAACTTTCATAAAAAGTAATTGAATATATAAAACATCGTGACATTCTAATTCTAAAAAACTTAAAAATTCCATATTTCTCATTGTTACTATTGCACACAGGTAAACAGCAGGAATAGTTCTACTTGTACCGTCTTCAACATTTTGCCGGGATAGTTTTACCAGTAAATTAAAGCAGCCTCAACATCCCGTTACAAATACCTATTGTGAAAACAAACTGAATATTAATTTTTATGATTTCCATCGCTTCTTCGTAAAGACTACAATTGCACAAACGCTTCGATTGCTGGGAAATGGATGCTAACTTAAGAAATGACGTTGGTTGAGAAAATGTTCGGTATTGTAGTTGAAATGGTACAGGCCGATGGCTGCAATTCAACAAGTTCAACTTAATAATAACTCAGACTGGCTGAAAATCTCTTGCTATCGATGTTTCCAACTATGCCGTAGCTACGAACTCTTTCTAAACTAGCTAAAATGTTAGAATTTTTAACTTAAAATTTTTCAAAATAATTCTTACTATAAATAGTAATGAAAATGTAAACAATTAGTAAATAAGCAAAATGCCTAAAGTATATATTTTAAAATAGTGTTAACGGAAACTGGGTGGAATCCAATAAACCGGATTCAACCCCTATTTTGCCACTTTTAGAGGTGAAATGGTTTCTTCAAATTTGAATGGACCACCTCTGAGCTATAATCATCGAAATCTGTTCACAAATTTCGGTGTAATCCTGTAACATACACAAATGGAATCGATTTGAGAACTACCTCCATATTTGTAAGCCGGTTAAAAATAAATTGAAAGTTAGTATTTTTAAAATCCTTCCGGAATTGTATTATACCTTGCACACGTTTGAGGGAAAGTTTTGACGCTGACGAATTGACCATATTTTTTACACATGTTCAGTCTACGGAATTGTACAGCATTTATAACTCATAAGAAAACAAGAACATTTCAAAATTTCTTTCTTATACCATATGGCAGGCAAAGCAAAAATAGATATGTTTCAGCTTTTCAACGAGGTTTCACAACATTCATTTCAATTTTTCATTTCACCGCAGATAAATAAAGCACTCACCTAGGCACCGGTGGCGGCGCTCGCCAGCTGACGACCTTTTCACAACCAACCTCATTCATAATCTTCATCAAATCTTTTTTAAATTTTATTTCCGCGTAGAAATGTCTTATCTAAGACTTCCTTGTGCTAATGAGGGTTTTCTATATTTTTATTAAAACACATATTTAAAAAAATATCATTGGCTAAAACTCTATTCGCGAAGAGTATTGATATAATAAAGAAGTGAAGAAGATAAAGTAATACAAAATATGCAAATATCAGAGTCAATAACAATTATAATTTTTTATAAACTAATATTTAATTCTTTTTACGAATTTCATGCGATAAAAGTATTTTTGAC